AAAGAAGGAAGATGAGGAGATAAAAGAAGGAAGATGAGGAGATAAAAGAAGGAAGAGGAGGAGATAAAGGAAGGAAGAGGAGGAGATAAAAGAAGGAAGAGGAGGAGATAAAGGAAGGAAGAGGAGGAGGTAAAGGAAGGAAGAGGAGGAGGTAAAACAAGGAAGAGGAGGAGGTAAAGAAGGAAGGGAGGAAAAGGAGGAGATAAAGGAGGAAGGGATAAGAAAGCAAAGAGAGCGCACCTGTAGTCGCCGGGGCGGAACATGTTGGCGGCGGTGCCGTGGCAGGCGGCGGGAGCGTCGGCGCGCAGCTGGGAGCGGCGCCAGAAGGCGGGCGGCAGGCGCGCCAGCCCCAGCGACCGGAACACGTCCTCGGCGCGCGCCGCCATGCCGCGCACCGTCAGCCCCGCGCCGCGCAGCGCCGCCGTCAGGTCGGGCGCGGCAGGCGCCAGCAGCCGCCACAGCGACGACCAGTCCTGCGCCCACAGGTCGCCTGCGCGCGCCGCGCGCCTCTTGTCACGTCAGCGTTGCCACCGTAGGGGGTTTGCCCTTAAATTTAGGTTTTTTAGGGCCTGGAATTGATTGGCAGGCGGCAAATTTAATTGGTGGTGGTAATTGGTTTTGATGGAGGTTGTCGTTGAATTTTTTAAATGTTCATTTTTTTAAAAATATATATTGTATATAGTAAAATTTCAAAACCGAAAAATAGCTCCCTATGATTATTGGGATTTATTCAATTATAACTAAGCGAGTAAAAACAGTTACAGGCAAGTAAGTTTATTTCGATGAATTCCCGCGTTGAAAATTAGGGAGTTAGTTGTCACAATTATTCACAACCAAAGATTAGTAGAATAGGGCTACAAATTTGATGAAAAAAAAACTAATCACAGCGATAAACAAGAAATGATAAGAACAATTTCGGTTGGCGAAACGTTTTATAAAAAGTTATCATATTTTTCCATCCGTCATTAAAATGAGTGAGACCACGATACAATCTTAAGTTTTATAACTCGTACACAGCATGAAACTCATTGTAAACCGTATCCAATGTGTGTATGTATGCACGTTATTATATAAATAGTTGTTGTACATATTTTATGCATTACAAATATGGGTGTTTACTGTAAAATATAAATATCATATACAATTAATACTATTTTTCGTATTTCTTGCATTTCTACACCTAATATTTTAAGCATAAAGTAATCATTTTCAGAGGGTTATTTTAGTTGTTGGTTTTTTTTGGCATTGTGGTGGTTTTCATAGCGCTTTCTACTGGGGAATGATTAAGACCTTGCTACCGGGCCGATGTTGAAAATCCTGCCACTGGCCGGACTCGAATCTAGGACCTCCCGGATAGAGGCACTGCAGTGACATCAGCTCATGAGCTGTGTACTGATACCGCCGATTAAACAGAGCTCAGTGCTAAGGGTCTGCGATAACTTTGAGGTTATGGAGCAAATCCATTCATAACCAAACGCATACGCAGAAAACTTCGAACACCTCAAACACTGAAAGACAAGTAACAAAAACGATAGAAAATCAGTTAGGGATCTAACGGGTCTTCAAGGGTTCGAGAATTTCGCAATATTGAAGAGTAAACAGCGATAGGGTTAGAGAGGGAGTCTTACCTACCCTCCATGAAGCTCACTCTGGTGATTCACGCAGAATTTAACAAAGCAGCTTAGGATATTTCTACATAGAGAGCACTGTAGCGGACAATAAGCATACGTATTGTAGCAAAACCCTGAACTAACTCGTAGAAATATGAGACCAGCAAAGCAGAAAGGTATCAAATATCAAGTCAGTCTGCTGAATCGCTCATAGATACCGCTAAAATCTCAAAAATCATTTACACTTGCAAAAGGCATTTTAGGAACGAAAATAGTCTCGGGTCCGCACACGTCTAGAAGCTCCCAGTCACAGCCCGACTACGCGCGCCAACACGTCCATAGGCTTTCAGGCACAGGCATTTTTCGCTTGTTAACACGTCCAGAGCCCTGAAAGAGCTAGAGAAAACGAGGGAAGTAATGTAGGAATGTGACTGAGGCCACGAGCAACTCGGGGGGGGAGGAGGGTCATCCTCCTATTTTATTAAATACATTTTATTATTTATTAATAGCCCGTTAATCCCTATTAGGGCAAGGAGACTTACATTAAAAAGTTGGTCCTCGAGCAGCCACCCCGAGGACCTTACATGGATAACTCATAAAACACTGTTTTTAATGGATTTCTCCATCTCTTTCCATTTTTTAGGGTCTTTCGCAACTCTTGACCATTGATGACCTAGAAGTTTCCGGAAGTCATCGGTCGATCTTCGAGTTTGTCCACTAACGTTCCTCTTCCCTGTTCGTGAATCCCACGAAGAAGTTCTGGATGTTTATCGGTCATCTTGGAGTCTTGAGATGTGGCCTCCCCACTTCCATTTTAGTTGATGAGCAGTCCAGCATTGCATCTTTTATTTGTGTTCTTTTTATTTCTTCATTACTAGTTTTATTTGTTAAAGATATTCGAAGATTTTTTTCTTTCCATGCTTCTTTGACATTCTCTAATAGAATTTTGATTTTTCCTTGTCGCAGACCAGGTTTGAGCACCGTACGTCAGAACAGGTAGAATACAGGTGTCAATTATGTCTTTTTTTCATTTTTATGCTAATTTTTTACTTTAAAGAATAAAATTTCAGCTCCAGTCTTTTTTCAATGCTGCTGAAATGCGTCTATTAATTTCTTTATCATTTTTCTTATTAAAGGATATTGTTTGTCCAAGATAGATGTATTCATGAATGTATTCTATTATTTTGTTCTGTATTGTTATTTCTTTCTCTTCTCTAATTGTCATTATTATGGTTTTGCCAAAGTTTATTTTTAACCCAATTGTCTTGCTTTGTGTATTTAGTTCTTGAAGTGTAATTAGAGAGATTCTTGATGTGTGTTACCTAGTAAGACTATATCATCAGCAAATCTCAGATTTGATAGTTAGCGTCCGTCGATTTTAACCCCATTCTTGATTTTTATCTTACGAAATAGATACTTTATTAGACGGATGAATAACTTGGGGGCAGTAAATCACCCTGTCTGACACCTCTTTTGATTCTGAATTCTCTTCCGTTTTTGATTCTTGCTTTATTTGTCATATATTTTTGATAGTATGAGTATTTAGTTGTCTTTTATTCCATTTCATTTTAAAGCTTTCAATATGTAAATTTGTTCTACAGAGTCGAATACTTTCTCGTAGCCTATAAATGCTAGATATTATGGGAGGTGGTGTTCTTGGAATTTCTCTATTAGTTGGTTAATAATATGTAAATGGTCAGTGGTTGAAAAACCTGGAGGAAATCCTGCTTGTTCCACTGATTGGTTAAATTCTATTGTTCTTGTTATTCTTCCCAGTATTATTTTTGAGAATATTTTATATACGTTTGACATCAAATCATGACATGAAACAAGGAAATAGGTCTATAATTATTGATATCTTCTTTGATCCTTACTAGTGAAGTTAAATGATTGTATTATGTTCTCATTCATATGGAATTTCCTCTCTAATTATTATTTTATTAAATAGGTCTCTCATGGGTTTAATTAATGATGCCTCTCCTTATTTTTAATATAAATTTAATATATAGTCTTCCCCTAGGTATTTGTTTTGTTTCGAATCTTGAATTGCTTTCCTTATTTTACTTTCCAGAATTTTAGGTATTTAAATATTAGAGTCGAGTGTTAAAAATGTGACCACTGACAGCTGTGTATCTGGCTTGGTTGTTTTGTAGAGATTTTTATAAAGTTTTGTTGCAACTTCTATTATATCTTTTCGTGCTGTAAATTGTTTTGTCATTACTTGACTTAAGGCATTGGATCCACTTTCTTCCTTTATTCTGCGCAGGGATTTTGAAGAGTTCATTATGTCTAGTATTTTCGTTTCTTCATGTTTTCTTAGATCTTTTCTTATTTCTCGTTTTGTTAGTTTGTTAATTTCTTTATATTACATTGGATAAGTTGAATTACTTACACTTATTGTTTGAATTTCTTACCGTTTTTGTAGCAAGTCTGATGAGTTCTTACTTAGTTTTTGATTGTTAATAGCTGACTTCTTTGCTGTGTTTGATTCTTGTATTGCTGTTTTTATGCATTCTTCTATGTTTTTTATACCAACTTTGAATGTTATTTTCTTCATTTTTTTCTGAAGTTCACTGAACTTCTTTTTTAGGATATCTTTGTATTTCTTTATGTCAATGTAATTTGGTTTTATTTTTTTGAATTTATCATGTATTTTTCTTCTTATTTGTTGATTGACGTTTATCAATGCCCTCACCATTCTGTTATATCATTACATAAAATATAATCTAATTCATTTCTGATTTTTCCTCCTGGACTTATCCATGTCCATTTGTTTTCCCACTTCTCTTTAAACTATGTGTTTGTTATTTGTAGATTTTGACATTGTGCGAATTTTATTAGCCTTTCACCTCTTGAATTTCTATTTCCATAGCTGGTGTACTGAAAAATATTTTGTCGTTCTTTATTAGTGAGATATGTGGGAAAATAATATTAGGAATGTTCTCCCGAACTGGTGGGTATGCAGACACCCCCGCACTGGTTCCGACCACCACTTCTTCACCCGCAGCAGCGCCGATTCAAACCTCGCAGGATATCGACTGACTTTTAGACGCGTTTAAATGTCAATATTTATAAAAGTATTGGTTCATCTTTCAAAAAATTATAAAATGTAACATTTAATGTGCCCCGATAGAGGGTGAACATCTCCCACACCATTAAATCGTGGGTAGTGTTCAACTGCTAGTAATCTAGGAGGTAACAGAGGACTCGTTTCAAAGTTTGGGGAGTGTATCTTCTATTCGATCCCCATCCCCTAAAATCTGCCAGGGGGAGAGGCACCCGTAGGGGTTGCTACTGATCGTGAAACCCTTAATAAACCAGCTATTTCTGAGAGTTCCTTTGAAAGTCAAGAAAGCGATTTCACGTCTTCAAAGGAAGTCCACCTTACGTTATTTTTCATCTAGTGAAGAATGTGAGAGTGTGGGACAGTGTAAGACTGTTGTGAAATATCACGAAAACGTTCGACCCTGCCAGGATTCGAACCTGGAATCTTCTGATCCGTAGTCAGACGCGTTATCCATTGCGCCACAGGGCCACACTTTCAATGCGTAAAACATCTTAAATTTCAAGAACATTCTTCCCTGGTGACACTTGACACTGTTCTTCAAGCGAGTTATGAGGTATATAGGGAGCAGCGTCGCTCAAGAGGACTGCCCAATTGGCGTGCCCTGGTCCAGCCTTCTCCGCGAGCCCTCAGGAGAGGTGGCTCAGAGCATCGGCGGCTGCTGCAGAGCCTCTAACGGCGGGGTCCTGGTGTTCGATTCCTGACGGTGGCA